TTCGGGAATGGTTTGAGGAGACATTGTTTATGGTCTGAGACCCTTTGATTTATTAATAGAATTTGTGGTGTTTTTTGGAATTCTTTTTATTGTCGTGTGAGAGATTATGGCAGATTCAAGGTCCTCGACTGTTAATTCTCTTGGCTCACGTTCTGTGGGTGGTGGTGCCATCACCAAAGTGAAGTTGGATGGTTCCAACTATTTGATTTGGGCACAGTCTGCCAAGATGTTCATTGGTGGCAAAAGCAAGATTGGCTATATTACTGGTTCTGAGAAAGAGCCAGCTAAGACAGAGAAGGCATATCCACAGTGGTTTGCAGATAACGCAATGGTTATGTATTGGCTAGTCAATTCGATGCAACCAAACATAACTGTTGGCTATATGTTTAAGAAGACTACTAAGCAGATTTGGGATTCAGTTCAACGCACTTATTCTCAGAGGCAGAATAATGCACGAATTTTCCAGCTGGGGCGAGATATCACCAGGATTTCTCAGGGTGACTTGACAGTTTCAGGTTACATCGCCAAGCTTCGTGCTATTTGGGAGGAGATGTCATATTATGATTCCTTCCACTCTTGGAAGGATCCAAATGATGCAGTTTTATATGCAGGAATTGTGGAGAAGAATCGAGTGTTTCAGTTTCTTGCCGGGTTATACGACGAGTTTGAGTATGCTCGTGTTCATTTATTGGACGTATCTTCATTCCCTACTCTTGAGGATGCATATTCCTATGTGTTGTCAGATGAGAGCCGCCGGACTCATCCATTAGGTGTTGCTTCTGTTGATCGTTCTGCTATGGCAGTTCGGATCCCCAACCTTTCAGGAACTTCACCATCCCAGTCAGTTCAAAGCACTACCACCGGTCCTCCTCTGGGACGACAACGTGGACGGTGTGACCATTGCAGAAAAATTGGTCACATCAAATCTCGTTGTTATGCTCTACAGGGACATCCACCGCAACAGAAACAACAGCCACGATCCTCTGCACATTCTGTTACACAACCAGTCTCATTGTCAACTCCTGACAACCTTGCCTCTACATCTTCTGCCACAGTTACCTTGACTCAAGCTGATTTGGACAAATTCAAGCAATTCTTCAACCAGATGGAGGCATCTTCTCAGCCCACCTCCACTTATGCCCACTCAGGTACAATTGCATCTGCACATAGCGTATCTACATCTTCAACACCATGGATCATTGATTCTGGTGCTTCAGACAATACGACTGGTATGTCCTCACTCTTCCAATCTTATAGTATCTGCTCTGGCCAACGCAAGGTCCGCCTTGCGGATGGCTCTCCATCTTCCATTGCTGAGAAGGGTCACATATCAGTTTCTCCTTCATTAACTTTGTCAAATACACTTCATGTTTCAAAGTTGACTACAAATCTTATTTCTGTTACTAGCGTTACCAAACAATTAAATTGTAGTGTAACGTTCTTTCCCTCTCATTATATTTTTCAGGATCTGGTGTCGAAACGGACGATTGGAAGTGGGCGTGAAGTGGACGGTTTATACCTGTTGGATGCTCCTTTGTCACCGCAAGCACATTCAGCTTCATTTTCTAATATTGTTTCATCTAATAAGGCCCAGCTTATGCGTTGGCACATGCGTTTAGGACATATTTCTTTCGGTTATTTGAAACATTTATTTCCTTCCTTATTTTGTAACGTGGCAGTGTCAGATTTATCCTGTGAAACATGTCATATGGCTAAACATGTTCGTTCCAATTATCCGCCTAGTAGTAATAAATCTGCTTTAACAGCTTTTGATCTTGTTCATTCAGATGTGGGGGGTCCTTACCCAGTTACTTCTAGTCTTGGATTTCGATATTTCGTGTTATTCATTGATGATCATAGTCGTGTTACATGGGTTTATCTTATGAAAACCAAAAATGAGGTATACACCATTTTTAAAAAATTTATGACAATGGTTCACACTCAATTTGGTCGTACCATTAAAAAATTCCGATCTGACCAGGGTACAGTGTACACTTATGGGGAGGTACAACGGTTATGAACAAAATTTAGGATTGCGCATCAGCTGGCTAATGTTAAAACTCCACAACAGAATGGTCGTTCTGAGAGAAAGAATCGCCACATCCTTGACTTAGCCAGAGCAATCTGCATTGGCATGAATGTTCCCCAGTCATTTTGGGGAGATGCAGTTCTTACCGCTGTTTACATCATTAATAGGACTCCTTCTAGGATTCTTAACTTTGCAGCCCCACTCTCAATCTTACATCCCAATTCATCTCTATTTTTGATTCCTCCACAGGTCTTCGGGTGTGTGTGCTTTGTTCAGCAGTTGGGGCAAACTCGTACAAAGCTTGACCCCAAGGCTTTGAAGTATGTGTTTTTGGGCTATTCTCACTCTCAAAAAGGTTATATGTGTTACCATCCTCCCAGTCGTCGGCGGTTTATATCCATGGATGTTTCTTTCTTTGAGCATACACCACTACTATAGTGGTTCAGTTGGTTCTCAGAGTGAATGGTTCCCATTGAATATAATGGATGATCACCCGTCTTCAACTCCTCTACCATTACCTGTTTCTTCTTCTATAATTCCTCCTCGTGATACCCCTCCAGCAGGGGGAATTGTTCCTTTTTCACAGGTTTATAATCGAAGACAACAGGTACAAGCTTCTACTCCCACGATCGACTGCCATGTTCCTTCGGCACCAGCTCCACCTTCTCAAGCTATTGTTTCGCTTGATGATCGCCCCATTGCTTTTCAAAAGGATAAACGTTCTTGTACTTACCCTATTTCTAATTTTGTTTCTGATTATGCTCTCTCACCCTCCTATCGGAGTTTTCTTGTTTCCTCGGTTCCTATTCCTTCCAGTGTTGAAGATGCGCTAGCACAACCTCAATGGCGTGATGCTATGACAGAAGACCTACAAGCACTTGAGAAAAATCAGACTTGGGACAAGGTTCCACTTCCTATTGGACGAAAGGCTGTTGGTTGTCGTTGGGTGTTTACAGTCAAGCATAATCCAGATGGGTCAGTTGCTCGTTACAAGGCCCGATTGGTTGCTAAGGATTATGCTCAGACTTATGGCATAGATTATCAAGAGACTTTTGCCCCTGTTGCCAAGATGAATATCATCCGTGTATTATTTTCCGTTGTTGCAATTCGATCTTGGCCCCTATTTCAGTTAGATGTCAAGAATGCCTTTCTTCATGGTGATTTGCAGGAGGAGGTGTACATGGTTCCTCCTCCGGGCTTTCGTTCTCCTGCTCATTCTGGTATGGTATGTCGTCTTCGTTGTTCTCTATATGGCCTCAAGCAGTCTCCTCGAGCTTGGTCTGATCGCTTTGGCACTGTTATGCTCAAGTTTGGTTTCCATCAAAGTGCAGCTGATCATACCTTGTTTTTACGTCATTCAAGCGGTAAGACAGTTGCTCTCATTGTGTATGTCGATGATATTATTCTTACCGGCGATGATACTACCGGAATTAATGAGGTTAAGAGCTATCTTGGCCGTCAGTTTGAGATTAAGGATCTTGGTCCCCTACGATACTTCTTGGGCATTGAGGTGGCTCGCTCCAAGACTAGCATTTTCATCTCTCAACGCAAGTATGTTCTTGACTTGCTTTCTGCTTCTGGTCAGCATGGCGCTCGTCCTGCTGATACTCCGATTGAGTAAAATCATCGGTTGGCTAATTCTGAAGGGGAGTTATTGTCAGATATTGGTCAGTATCAACGACTTGTGGGGAAGCTCATCTATTTATCCATGACTCGACCTGACATTGCGTATGCCATGAGTGTCGTGAGTCAATTCATGCACTCTCCTCGTGCCCCACACTTTAATGCAGCTATTTGGATTCTTCGCTACATAAAAGGGTGTCCAGGCCGTGGTATTTTGTTTGCTAATCATGGTCACTTACGTGTTGAGGCTTGGACAGATGCTGATTATGCAGGATCAATTTCAGATAGGAGGTCTACTTCAGGTTATTGTACCACTATTGGTGGCAACTTGGTTACTTGGCGCAGTAAGAAACAGGATGTTGTCTCTCGATCTAGTGCAGAGGCAGAGTTTAGGGCTATGGCTCTTGGGGTAGGTGAGTTGTTTTGGCTGAAAACCTTGATGACAGACTTATGCCTTCCAGTGTCGCTTCCATTCTCACTCTACTGCGACAACAAGTCTGCCATTAGCATAGCAGCAAATCCCGTTCAGCATGACAGGATTAAGCATATAGAGGTGGACCGTCACTTCATTCGAGAAAAGATCATCTCTGGTCAAATTTACACTCCATTTGTTACAAGCTCTCAACAGCTTGCAGACATTCTTACAAAGGGCGTCAGCAAGATTGTGTTTGAGAATGCATTGTCCAAGTTGGGCGTTTCAGATATCCACGCACCAACTTGAAAGGGAGTGTTAGCATTTATGATACCACGATTTATGGTATAACTTACCATAATAGCCAAGATATGATAGGCCCAAATCATGGGATGTGATTTACCATATTATCTGTGAGATATGATAGCCACAAATCATGTATTTGACTTTATTTACGCATATGTCTGGGCATAGAATATGCAATGATTTGATTTAGTTTCCTTTCTTGTAATATGAGCATGTGCTCATTTTATCTATAAATACTAGAGCTGTGAATGGGTAATTCATCTCATTCAAGCCTTTCCGCAATTCTCTCTTTTATCTTCTTTTTATATATTTCTACTGTATGATACACCCTACGACTGATATGGACAAGCATTTAGGTGCCAAGATGATATTCACTTTGACAGATTGGTTTGTTAGCTTTTTCAGTTTATGTATGCAACTAATTAACCTGCCATCTTTTCTGTTGTTCTCTTGGGAAAAATAAAATAAAAATTTTTAAACCAATAGTCATGAAAAATTATTGTGCAACTTCGAGAAAAGACTAATATCTATCTTTTACCAATCACAAAAAGGGAAGAGGCCATGTAGTAAGCATAAGACTGGTGAGTTTTCAATACAATCGTTAAATAAGAAAATAATGAACTAACTTACCCCATGTCGTCATATCCCATAACTAATGCCTCACCCTGAAATTATAGAAAATTCATAATCAGTTAATGAAAAACTATCCAATAGGAAACATGTCGCGTGTGATTTACTTAGCATTAATTGCACCCACAAACCAGTGCCAAACATCTCTTACATTTCTAATAATGGAAAAGAAATTACATACAAGCCACTCAAAGATACAACAACAATCAAGCCTTTTCCCCAACTACTTGGGGCCAACTCCATGAATCCAATGTTTCCATTCTGCTCTATGATATCAAATAAGGCCATAACCTCAAGCCACTCAAAGATGAGATAAAATGAAATAAATGATATATCCTAGCAAAAGCTACACCCCGAACATAAACAAGAAAACATATGCAAATTGTTTAAGGTCGTTATCAACATTATAATCTGATAAGAACTTCTCTTTCGGAAGGGAGGGGGGAGATGAAAAGAATTAAATAAATAAGGAGAACAAGGATATTTGCAATCAAAAAATATCCAAAACTGCATAAACTTGAGATGTAAATTTCTTTGAAGCGATTATTGATGCCATAAACCCAAAGGAAAACTTCAAAAATTGTTGAAAGAAAAATAAAAGTTGAAGAGAGAAAATAAAACATGAAGAACACACAAATATAACGTGGTTCAGCCACTAGGGCTTACATCCACGACACACAAAGCCCAAAGGGCTACATCTCTTTCATTACACTCTTCTTCATTTTGTTTACAACAACCACCTCTATTTATAGGTGAATTGGGGAAGACTAGTAATAAAGGAATTACAAAGAAAGTCAAATATAAATATGGCAACAACTTGTTGCCCAAGTATAGCAACATTAACATTCTGTCAAGGAATGATTTAAGGGCTTAAATCACTCCTATAATTATTCTCCAACAAAAACCATATGAACATTTGTAAGGACAAGATATGAACATGTTGGTCAAGTACCGGACACTGACACTTCTATAACATTCTCAAACATGTGTCGAGAATTTAAATTCTTAATCTCAGAAGAAAGGCCAAACAATTTACTATTGAGCATTGGACGTTGGATAAGTCTTTCTTTTAGTATGACAAAAACATAAATATAAAATTAAATTCAAATTAATTATTCAGAAACTAAAAAGATATAGAAAGTTTTTATCATGGGAGTCAGCATGAGTCTAGGAGAGGAGTCAAAAAATCATTGGTAGGAGAAGAGTCATCAAATGTCAATACATATATAAATACATAAGAATACATATATTGTCAAGTCCTAGTTATGATTTTTTTCATGCTAAAAGGGTGAGTGTGGTTATTATGATCTACATGTTATAGCCATAAAATATTATATTTGATTATCATGAAGTACTTTTGGTCATATTTTATATAATTTTTACATATAAATAGTATATTTTAAGGGGTCACTGCTTGGTCCAATGGTAAAAGCTCGGACAATCAAGCATGTTTGAAAGCAGGTTCAAGCCACTTTGTGCATAATAAAACCTAAAGAATAGGCCTATCTAAGTCAACCCCTTGTAGCACCCCACCTAGCCGAGACAAACACTGGATAATGAACTTATAAAAAATATAATTTACTCCCCTGTCAATGTCATGTAAGTGTCGTACTTTTAAAGAGATTACATGCCGACCAATCTGTATCACACATGCCCTGTATCTTCACACATGCTTTTTAAGAAAACATGCATGCTTGGTTTATACAAGAAGGCTTGGAGTAGACAAAAGGAGGACAAGGTAAGTTACATTCGAATAGTTTAGGGTTCAATATCACTTGAGTTCAATATAATTTTGGGTTTCTTGGAAATATCTACATATATATACATATAGAAAAAAAAACAGTAAGAAAGATTCTAAAGGATTTAAATCCATGAGAAAGCCTTCATATTATTCAAGATGAAAGCAACACAAAATTTTGGTTTTGATACAATTAAATGGGGAGGCCAATAACTACACATCCTAGTTTTATAATCACATAACAAAAGAAAATTCTAAAAAATGCAGAAATTTATAGATTAATGTTTGAGCCAACCTATTTCCTTTAATTTAGCATAACCAACAAACTAGGTTTGGAGAAGCAATAGATGTTACAAATCAGTATCACAAAGCATTAGCATATCATATGTGTGTCAAACTGTTACCAACATATCACTTAGGCTCTGTTTCAGTTCATGCATTTAGTGACGGAAAGAAAAATCAACATGAAGGAAATCATTTTTTCTTCTTTGGTTACTACTGAAAATGGCAGGGAAAATTACGGAATAATTTTACAAGTATTTCATTATTCTTTTTCCTAATTCCTGACTATTTTTGAGAAATTTTAATCTTAATATTGCTTTAGTAGGAGAGAAACTATAACCAAATTGTTTCCCATTACTCTTTCCGTCTCCTTTCCTCCTTTTCTTTACCTCAATTAATCTGCAAACTGGACGGAGCCTTAAGCTAACAACTAGATCTGAATATAGGGGAACCAACAGCTGGGGCTAGAACTATAGATATTCATACAAAGGGCACAACTTAAGGATCTCAATAAAGAAATAGCAACTCATCGGAACACAAACACGTCTTTCAATTCAACTAGACTCTAAAACACACACACAGAGTATCAGAAATAGCCTCGCATTAATGCAGTTAAACTCCCTAAGTTTTCTTTGAAACCTACCTGGTTTTACTTTTTCCCAGTGCTTGCAAAATAACAGATTGAATACAAAATCAAGCACATATATTATCCATTGTTTTGAATTTTATTTAAGTAGAATAAAAAGGCATGGAAGGAATGGTGGGGCAAGGGAAGAAAAAACACATTGCAAATAAAGATTACAAATAATATTGCATATATAGTGGATGTTGAATGTAGTTACAAGATTGGTTGGTGAGAAACGAGTATTTGAGTCTTTAGTGGCATAAAACCGATCAAGGAGCTTCTTTATGTGATCGTGCATCGTTGCGTCTGTGCCAATGCCTGCCTAAGAAATAAAAATAGAGAGAGAGAGAGAGAGAGAGAGAGAGAGCAAATAATTCATAAAAACTAAAAACCAATATATGAGAAGCTCATGAACTGGTGAATTAAACTACAAATCACAGAGTAAAATTCAATTTAAAATTAAAGTTTAAACATTATGTCTACCATCCTCACCTTATCCATACAACTTAGCAAATCAGCTTCGCTTAAAAGGGGTGGAGGTCTAGTAACTCCTGAATCAAGAGTCAGTGTTGTTGGGATAAACTGCAATACTACCAACAATTAGAAAAGCATAATGTATACCTCTATGTTTGTAAATCAACACACTGACTCAATAACAATCTGGCGTAAAGCTGCAACTGATACAATTGAAACAAAGCATCAAACATATTTCAATTTTTAGAACAACAAATAACAATTTCTTCATTTATAATTGATATACCAGCACCCAGATTGAGTTTCTAGGGTCTTTCATCACATTGGAAGCACAAGAACCTAAATATCATGGACCTAGGAATTTGATCAACTCCCAACATTTATCATTTTTATTAATCTTAGGAGCTCTCCTGACTTTTGGGACTACTTTTTTTTCTTTTATTAGCTCTATGTAGCATCAGTGCTTCTTTTTCCAAGTTTGTGAAAAACAGCAATTATTAAGGCTCCGTTTGTTTCAACATAAAATATCTTCCTCGGAAAATATTTCTATATAAAACTTTTTCAGATAAAATATCTTTTTTACTTTTATTTTCCGGTGTTTAGCAAAAGTCCTGAAAAAAAATTTCCATAATGCTTTTGACGGGGATTGAATTTGTCTAACGTCGATTGACGATCATGTAGGGGTGTGAAAAATGAATGATGATCGCATAGGGGTGTGAAAATGTTTTACCAATATTTTTAAGTAAATCAATTTTTATAAAAGCCTGCAAAAGATTTTACCACGTAAAAAATTCTTTTTTGTTTTTTGGACAACAAAACACCAAAAAATAAAGAAATATATATATTTCAAAAAATATTTTCATTTAAACAAATGGAGCCCAAGTGTAAACTGTTTCAATTTTTTCAGGGGTCGCAAGTATCAGCATGAAGAAACCACTTTTGTAATAATTTATTCCTATTGTGTAAGCATGAAGAAACCACTTTTGTTATAAGTTATTCCTAAAAACAATCATTTGCAGCAAAAGTATATGACACTATTATCAAGTTTAAACAACTCATTTCATTTGGAATTTCTCCATGTTTTGTAATGGGTAATTTTATTTATTTGGGGTAAGTGCCCCTTCTGTAACAGTTGTCCAGAAAAGGGAGTTCGAATATACAAATTTTAGCTTCTCTTTATTTTACTGTATGTCTTAATTTACATGCATCGAAATTCTAGTCTCTACTTGAAGCTGAGTGGGCCGTTCATAACTCACTTCTGTATTCACCAATCAGTGGAATTCAATCAACAACCATCCCCCCCCGCGCGCGCGGGGGGTGGTTATCTTGTGTTTCATTTTTTTTCTGTTTTCCTTTCTTCTTCTTTTTTCTTTTTTTTTTTGGCAAGTGTTGTCTGGCGTTTCAGGCAGCATATACAAACTCAGTGTTTGTACAGCTATCTTCAACATGTACTAATCAACATACAAATCATTTGACTGTTTTTCCATCGATATGTCTGAGAATTTACAGAACAAGATGTCAACTGTGATATCCTCTGTGTAAAATGTTTTTTAACTGTTAGAATGTATAATGCATATGGGTATATTTGGGAATATCTCTTATAAGGGGTATATTGGTCATTTTGTTGTAATGTGAAATAGTTTTATATATATATATATATAGCAGTTAGAGAGGTCGATTGTTCTCACAGAAAATTCCCCAAAACCTCTCTATAACAAAGTCAACATGGTATCATAGCAAGATGATCCTCATCTTCAGCCGATTGCTGTTTCATCCCAGTTGATAGTCATACGAGCATAATACATTGTACACAAGTTGTTGATCGTACATCGTTCTAATCATCATCGCTTTTTTTATTTTTTTTTTCCTTAGTTGGTACTCACACACACATGCCTCCATGGATGCTTGAACCCCTAATCTCCCTTTGGAAAGTAATCGTCATCGCTTTTGTTGATCTTTGTTATCATCAAGTTGTTGATTGTTTCTGGGTAGCAGTTGTGTGGTGATAGCCATCGAGGTGTGATTGTGAAGTTGCATATCAGTTATTGCAGAAACCTTCTATGGCAAGGGCACGTGATTGTCAAGTTACAAAAACCCTCTGATGGCTAGGGTTATCAACCAGCAAGTGAAAAAAGGAAGACAAAGCCCAGCCCGATAGTTACCTGTTGCAGAAACCTTCTGACGGATAGGGTTATCAACCAGCGAGTGAAAGAAGGAAGACAAGGCCCGGCCAGTTAGTTACCTGTTTAGTTCGCTTTGGCTTGACCCATCTGTTGTGGCCCGATTAGACTAGTTTGACCCGATTTAGTCAATTTGGATCGTGGCCCGCTGGTTCAGATATTTTTTTTCGATTAATTGCTTTTGGGTCAGAAAATCTTTTGTTTCTTTCTTCTCTTCCAGAACTACATCAGTTCTGTACAATACAAATTTTGTCTGTTTAGGAAAGCTCTTCAGTATCAGTTTTGTTTTGTTCTGCTTTGTGGGTTCAACATGTCGTCCACCCGATTTAGTCAATTTGGATCGTGGCCCGCTGGTTCAGATATTTTTTTTCGATTAATTGCTTTTGGGTCAGAAAATCTTTTGTTTCTTTCTTCTCTTCCAGAACTACATCAGTTCTGTACAATACAAATTTTGTCTGTTTAGGAAAGTTCTTCAGTATCAGTTTTGTTTTGTTCTGCTTTGTGGGTTCAACATGTCGTCCAATTCAGATTTACTTTCTCCCAAGTCAGTTTTTAACTCTCCCATGACTTATGTTAAACTTAATGGGAAGTATTGAAGATTTAATGGAGGAATCAATGCAGGAAAATCCTCGAGTAACTGATGTAGTTTCCTATTATTGAAGATTTGATTTTATTACAGGAGTAGTGGAGAAAAATCCTCCTTGTTTCCTATTTTCTATTTCTTTCCATTCTCGTAATTTCTTCTCCTATATAGAGGAGCCTCCACCATTGTATTGTGTATGAGTTGAGAGATTATAAATAAAAGTGATGTAGCCCTTTGGGCTCTTTGTGCCGGTGGATGTAGGCTATAGTCGCTGAACCACGTAATATATTTGTATTTTTCTCGTTTACTTTCTCTTCACATATGTTTTATACTTTACAACATGGTATCAGAGCCTAATTTCTCTTCCTAGGTTCGGACCCCTATTATGGGGTATTCCCTTAGCATCTGAAATGTTGCTTAGGGTTTCTCAATGCTATTTGTGACTTACTTGGGCTGCCGGTGCATTCAGTAGCACTTTTCTTCGCCTTTGCCGTTTCTCCGGCAATTTGTATTGACTTGTTTGGGCTGCCAGTGTGTTTGGTAGCATTGTTTTCGCTTTTGCCATGTCTCCAGCAATTTTTGTTTGACTTTTTTGGGTTGACAGTGTGTTCGGTAGCATTGTTCTTCGTCTTCTCTCATCTCTCTTCATCATTCGCATTTGCTGCTACTCATCTCCAGGGCAAGTTGGGCATTTATGCTCCAACTTGAGGGTGAGTACAGAAGATTTAATGGAGGAATCAGTGGAGGAAAATCCTCGAGTAACTGGTGTAGTTTCCTATTATTGAAGATTTGTTGTTATTAGAGGAATAGTGGAGAAAAATCTTCCTTATTTCCTATTTTCTATATCTTCCCATTCTCATAATTTCTTCTCCTATATAAAGGAGCCTCCACCATTGTATTGTGTATGAGTTGAGAGATTATAATAAAAGTAATGTAGCCCTTTGGGTTCTTTGTGTCGTGGATGTAAGCCCTAGTGGTGACAAGACGAGTTGATCCGAAGATTCGAGACGAGTTGATCCGGAAATCCAAGACAAGTTGATACAAGTTGATCCAAAGATCCGAGAAGAATAGAGTATAGAGTACGGTATGATAAACCTGCTCTGATACCATGTTGAAAGAAAAATAAAAGTTGAAGAAATAAATTAAAACATGAAGAACATAGAATATAATGTGGTTCAGCCACTAGGGCTTACATCCACAACACAAAGAGCCCAGAGTGCTACATCTCTTTCATTACATTCTCACTTAATTTTGATTACAACAACCACCTCTATTTATAGGTGAATTGGGGAAGACTTGTAGCTATAATAAAGGAATTACACAGAAAGTCAAATATAAATATAGCAAAAACTTGTTGCCCAAGTATAGCCACTTAACATTCTGTCAAGGAGTGATTTAATGTTTCAATCACTCATATAATTAATCTCCAACACCCACCCACCCCTCAAGTTGGTACACGAATATTTAACTCAAGTGTCCAACTTGAAATTAAATATGAAGTTGTTGAGAGTTTGAGACTAGTTGATCCATAGATTTGGGTTGACGAGACGAGTTGATCCGAAGATCCGAGACAAGTTGATCCAGAGATCCAAGAAGAGAACCAAAAATGGCTCTGATGAAAAGGAGAAAATAACACAAAAAGTCAAATATAAATATGAGAACAACTTGTTGCCCAAGTATAACATTAACATTTTGTCAATGCTTAAATCACTCCTATAATTATTCTCTAACAGGAAGAATTACATATTGTGGGCTAAATCTGTTGTAATTTTTCTCAAAGGTAAAGGTCTTGGTAGTCATCCTACTAAAGTTAAACCGAAGGAAACTGATGCTTCTTTTGTTTCATGAGAAAAGGAAGATGCTCAGTGTGATGTTAACCAGTATTGAACCCTAAATCAATTCAACACTTACTTTATTTGGATACTACCAAGGAGATATGGGAGAGGTTGAAGCAATTGTATTCTGGAACTGGTAACATCACCCGTGTATATGAGCTCTATAAGTAGTACTTCAATCTTGAACAGGGTAATCAGAGTATAGAAGAGTATTATTCGAAAGTTATGGGAGTCTGTAAGGAGTTGAATATGTATCAACCCATTACTTCTGATGTTCAAAGTATGCAGCAACAACGCGAGGACTTTAATGGTGTTCTTTTTCATACTGGTTTGTCCTCAGCATATGAGCCTATTCGTGCACAGATTTTAGGCAATCCAACACTTCCATCTCTTGCTGATGTGTTTTCTCAACTTCAGCGAGCTACACCTGTTAGTGGCACCTCATATTTAAATAGTGGGCAGAGTGGTGAGCATTCAGCATTGGTAGTATCAAAGGGTGAACATAATGCT